GACCTTGGGGCGGGGGGCGGCGAGCTCCCGCCGCGATCCAACAGGGGATGACATTTGCCTGCGATTGTTTGAATTCCTGGAGACCTGCGATGAAGCCATGCCACCTGCCCTGCTCCCTGCTCCCTGCTCCCCTGCCTCCACATTACTCCTGCACGCTCGGGGACGCACTGACCCAAGTCAATGCAGACCAGAGACAATCGGGCACTGCAGGAACCTGCGAAATCCTGCAGGGCACTGCGAGATCCTGCGCGCAAGCCCGGGTCAATGCACTCCTGGTCCTGCAAGATCCTGCAAGACCTGGCGCTCTGGTTGAGTTGACCGCCGTGTGCATTGACCCCTGTCTCAAGGCTCCCGACGCAGCACTGGCCGAGAATCACCGCGGACGTACCATATCTTTCGGGGATGGCGAGCTGCAGGGCTAGGAGGAAAAGACAGCAACTCGCCTCGGCACCGTCGCCGCGACCCCGCGCGCACTCCCGCGCAACGCGTTACATCACGCGCGCGTGCAGGGAAGGAGAACAGGGAGAACAAGGAGGTAACGAACGCCCGCTCTATCTTCCGTTTCCCCTCCTTCACCTCCTCCCCCTTCATCCCTTTTTCCTCTCCTCCCCCTCTCCCGCTCCTGCCCCTCCTCCCCTCGTCCTCCTCCTCCCCCTCCTCTCCCTCCCCTTCTTCCCCCTCTCTCCTCCCCTTCCCTTCTCCTCCCCATTCCCCTTCCTTCACCTTCCCCCCCTCCTTGGGCCAGGCGGGCGTGGCGGAGCGTAACCCCAAGGTCAAAGGGCCCCATCCAAACCGAGGGGTGCGGGGAGCCGTCGAGCTGTCCCAGGGCCGAGACGCAAGTGGGTGAAGGGCGCGGGACAGGGGGAAGAGGAGGGAAATGGGAAGGGAGGGAGAAGGGCGATGAGGAGTAAGAGAGGACCGACGGAAGCACCTCTCCCAGTATGGACTGAAGACCCCCCGAAGGCGCCCAAGAGGCCCTCATGAGACCCCCAAAAAAAACCACAGGATAGATCCCAAGAGGCTTCAACAAAAACCATCCAACCCCTCAAAAAGACCCCGCGAGGCCGCCCAGCAGAACCCAAATGACCTGAGCATACTTCCCGTCTGCGGCCCAGTCACAACGAGAAATGATGCGGAATGCTAGTAGCTGGTGTGTAAGTATGCATATTTATGTATATATATACATATTGTATCTATATGTATGTGTATATATATAGCCACCGAAAACGACTGGACATGTATCCAACAATGCGCGCCTATGACATATATACATAAACACACATATATATATATATATATATATGTATATATATCTATATATATATCTATTATCATACGCACCTCTCCGAGGGAGTAGAGCTCAGAGGCGATTAATGCGCACGCGTCCGCGATGTTTCTGGGCGTTTCGCTCGGGACATCCTCGAAATTCTGAAAATCGGTGGCACCCCTCACGCAGATCGTGACGTCAGGGTCCAAAACCATATGGGAATTTCAACATTTTAACATAAAACCTTCAAACACATAGGGTAATTTCAATAATTGTGACCCCGATTCTCAGGGAATCGCGGTTTCGCTTGAAAAATCCTTCCAACATCGAGCCCCAGACCCCGCCCCGGAGCCTCCTGGGAGCCTCCTGGAACCTCCTGGGGCCTCCTGGGGCTTTCTGAACCTTCTGGCACCCCAGACCCCGCCTCGGAGCCTCCTGGGGGTCTCCTGAAACCTCCTGGGGCCTCCTGGGGCCTCCTGCGGCCTCCTGGAGCCTCTTGGGGCCTCCTGAAGCCTCCTGGGGTCTCCTGGGGCCTCCTGAGGCCGCCTGGGGCTTCCTGGGGCCTCCTGGGGCTTCAGAACTACATGCACACAGAGACACAAATCACGCCCAACACATCACACGCTAGACAAACATAACACACACACACACACACCTACAACACACAAAAAGCACGCACCACACAAAGCATACATCACACACACACACACACACACGCACAACACTCACAATCCTGGGGCCTCCTGGAGCCTCTTCTGGTATCCAAGTCGGGCCTCCTGAGGCTTCCTGGGGGGTCCTGGTACACACATCGCAAGGTGTGGCAACCCCACTTGCGCTCGAGTGCGACTTCGATGTTGCATTTCACTCCTGCTTCAAACGCCCCTTCAGTTTTTTGTATGAGCCTGGGCACACACGTGCCACTTGTGTATATGTATATATATATATATATATATATCCGCTGGCCCCCTTGTAGGGGCACCAGGCTGTAGGCCGGGAGTTCCCAGTTTCCTGTACCAGTTGTAGCTTCCAGTTTCCACTGTTACAGTTCTGCTTCTTGCTGCTTAATTCTCCTTGTTACAATTACGCTTCTTGCTGCTGACTGTTCCTTGTTGATGGACCGCGCGAGGGGGGAGGCCCAAAACGGACATTTTCACCACGGCCAGAAAAGGTTATCAGAATTTCTGAGGGGGTACAAATTTCCACCTCTCACGCAGATTGGCGGGGTCAGGGTCCAAAAGCACATGGTACTTGCCCCATTAATCAAATTTCCTGATGCCCCTCACGCAGTCCAAAAACACACGGGATTTGCCACATTTCTGAAATTACCTGGCACCCCTCACGCAGATCGGCGGGGTTAGGGTCCAAAAACAAAAAGGATTTGCCACATTTCTGAAATTCGGTGACACCTCTCACGCATATCGGCGGGGTTAAGGTCCAAAAACTCATTGGATTTGCAACATGTCTGAAATCCGGTGGCACCCCTCACGCAGATCGGCAGGGTCAGGGTGCAAACAACACATGGGACTTGCCACATTTCTGAAATCACCCCTCACGCAGATCTGCAGGGTAAGGTTCCCCAAAACACACGGGATTTGCAACATTTCTGAAATTTCCTGACACCCCTCACGCATATCGGCGGGGTCAGGGTCCAAAAACACAAAGGATTTGCCACATTTCTGAAATTCGGTGGCACCCCTTAAGCAGATCGGCAGGGTCAGGGTCCAAAAACACAAAGGATTTGCTACATTTCTGAAATTCGGCGGCACCCATCACACAGATCCATAGGGTCAGGGTCCAAAAACACAAGGGATTTGCCACATTCCTGAAATTCGGCGGCACCCATCACGCAGATCCGTAGGGTCAGGGTCGAAAAACAAACAGGTCCCGACACTGCTTCACGGCGAAGCCAAAGCCTCATGCTTTCGCTCTTCCATGGCCCATTCTCCGAGAGAGGGGGCCGGCTGCAGGGGGCGAAGCCCTTACGGATATGCACATACACTTTTACATACATACATACATACATACATACATACATGCATGCATGCATACATACATACATAAATACGTACATACATACATACATGCATGCATGCATACATACATACATACACACACACACATACATACATACATACATACATACATACATACATACATACATACATACATACATACATACATACATACATGCATACATGCATACATACACACATACATACATACATACATATATGCATACATATTTATATATATATATATATGTGTCTATGTTTATGTATGTGTATGAATATATATATATATATATATATATATGTATATATATATGTGTGTGTGTGTGTGTGTGTGTTGCGCCCCTCCTGGACATGCTTCATCCTTACGAGAATCCATGCCCGCTACGGCACCGCAGCTCCGGCTTGCCCACGTAGACAACAAAAACACCGTCGCCATGAACCAAATATTGGCTGGGCCCCTCGGGCAGGTTTCCGCAGGGGGAGACGGTCACTCCCGACGAAAACACCCGCCCGACGGCACCACAGCTTCGGTTTGCCCGCGTAAGCCAAATTATTCGCTGCGCGGAGCTCCCACCATGTGCATATCATACTCCTGTCGCCTCTCGCTGAAGAACTCTGTCTGTGAGCATCTGGGTGTGGGACCGAATCAACATGGACGACGGGCGCGACAACGACGAAGGCTACAGCGACGACTTCAGTGACGCCCCCCTTCTCTGGGTATCTTCGAAGAAACACAAATCGAAAAGCGAGGGGACACTGGACCACCAAAAAGGAGAAGACTGAATGAATCTGAGCATGAGTGGATGATCTGAGCGTGGGCGAATCCGACTGTGAATGATCCCGGGAACGGTTTAGTGTGGGTGTCAATGAGTCTATGTATGAGAAAGTCTGGGCACGAGTATGTCTGAGACTGGCTAAGTATGAGTATGAGTGAGTCTGAATGAGATTGGGTCTGGTTCTGGGTAAGTCTGGGTGTGACTGAACCTGGGTATGAGTATAACGACTACGAGTCTGACTCACAAAGGGTCTGAGTACGAGCGGGCCTGGCTGCGAGTGAATCTGAGGGCGGGTGGGTCTGAGTGTGAATGATTCTGAATGTGTGTGCGAATATGAATGGGAAAACGTCTGAGTATAAGTATGATGAGCACGAAACTGCGTCTGAGCGGGTTTGGGTACGAGGCTGACTACGAATGAGTGTTAGGACGGGTGGGTCTGAGTGCGAATGATTCTGAGTATGAGTAAGTCTGAGTATGAATGCGCCTGAGTATGCATATGATGAATACGAAACCGAATTCGGGTGGGTCTGCATACAAGCGAGTCCGACTACGACTACGAATGAATGTGAAGATAGGTGGGTCTAACTGTGAATGAATCTGAATGTGCGTAAGTCTGGGTGTGCATGTGTCTGAATGTGAATCTGTTGGGCACGAGTCTGATTATGAGTGAGTCAGAGCACGAGCGAGGTTGATCACAAGTGAGCAAACGAGTTTGACACCGACAAAGGCAAACCGCCCCAGACATCCTCAAACTCGAACACTCTTTTTTTTCTGGGGTGCGAAAGCGATCGCCTCGCGCGAGATGTTCTCCAACTCTGCTCCGAAAACGGAGGATGTTGGGGCAATGCGCAGGCCCCCGCCGAGACATCCCCAACATTTGGGCGCGAACGGAGGAGTGCAATATCCCCTGGCGGCCCCCCTTGGGGGCGAAAACCGGCGCATCGCCGA